ACTGAGTTCGATCCTCAGCACCACATACCAACAAAGATGTTGTGTCTGCCGAGAACTAAAAAATAAATATTAAAAATTCTCTCTCTCCTCTCTCACTCTTTCTTTTTTAAAAAAAGTATTGTGTCTATCTACAACTAAAAAAATATATATTTTTTAAAATGTTAAGAGATGGTCAAATTTGTGCATCCTATACAGATCTTGAGATTTTAAGCATCATCTACTATCAATACAAGCAGTTCTCCCAAGCCACAAGTTGTAATGGGCAAAGCAGTGTGGTGTGAAAATACACACAAGCTAAATCATTTTCACTACATTCTGTCTGTTTGGACTCATCTTCTTTCAGGGTTTAATATGTTTGGAATAGCCCTTTCTTCCCTTCTGTAAGGGTTAATGTGTGTGTGTCAGGTGTGGTGGTGCACATCTGTAATTCCAGTGGCTCTGGAGGCTAAGGCAGAAGGATCACAGGTTCAAATTTAGCCTCATCAACTTAACAAAGCCCTAAGCAACTTAGTGAGATCCTTAAAATAAAAAAAAAAAAATTTAAAAAAGGACTGTGGATGTAACTCAATGATTAAGCACCTCTGGGTTCACTCCCTGGTACCAAAAAACAAACAAACAAGAGTTAATGTGTGGGCTGGAGTTGTCGCTCAGTGGTAGAGTGCTTGCCTAGCACTTGTGAGGCACTGGGTTCGATCCTCAGCACAACATAAAAAGAAAAATAAAATAAAGGAATTGTGTTCATCTACAACTAAAAATATTTTTTTAAAAAAGAGTTAATATGTATGTAAACAAGACTTCTCTACCTAAATAAGTCAAGGACAGCTTTTTCTCTCCAACCTCTAATGCAGAATGCAGTAGTACTTAAAGTGTGGCCCAGGGGCTCCTGTGAATTCCTTTTTGGGGTCCAAGGCTAAAAATTATTTTCCTAATAATTGTAAGACTTTATTTGCCTATTTTACTCTCATTTCCTTATGAATGTAGAGTGGAATTTTCCAGAGATCACATGATGTGTGATATCGAAACAGATTGAATACTAAGGAAGATGTGAGAACCCAGTTGTCTTCTATTAAGCCAGACGTTAAAGAGATTTGAAAAATGTAAAACAATGCCAGTCTTCTTTCACCAAAGTATTTTTGAAAATGAAGGCTAGGAAAATACATCTTCATTTGTCATTAAAATATATCATGATTAATGTATAGTAGGTTTATGTTTATTATTAAGTGAATTAAACAGTTTTCTCAGTTTTAATTTTTAATACAACAGATAGAGCTTGAACAAAAGTTTTTTTGGTCCTTTATAATTTTTAAGAATTTAAGAGAATCTTAAGACCGAAACGTCATGTTTACGAAACTTTTAAAGAAACTATTTCATTAAAGGTCACTTTTTTTTTAAATTAAAGATCACTTCTGTTTATTTCACTATTTGATATGAGTGATGCACTTGAACTATCTTAAATTTTAGGTTTCTGGAGAAAAGGGTGGTGGCGGGCAACTATGACAATGACTGTTGCTGCTTTTCTTCCTCTCCATCTATTTTTTTCTTCTTGTTTTTCTTTCCTTCCTTCCTTCCTTCCTTCCC